TTTAAATGGAGACAAAACAATGTTCCCAATTTGCTGGATCTGCCAATGATATGCATCCGTTTCCATTCGCCGCACGGTGGTTGGTGATGCTCTTAAGCTATTGCCCAAGTGTTTTTTCCTAAACTTCGAATGCTGTCAGATTCCTCTTGTTGCAATGTGTTTGGTTCCCGGTACAATTACCTACGACCTAAGTAGCATTTACCAACAAATATATTGAATTATAAAGTTGTAGTAACACTGCAAATGTTTGAACACGACACTACGAAACTTTTACAACATTCATTCAAGTAATAACCGCCGATTTTAAACTTAGATAAAGTATTGGCAATATAGGGAAAAGGGTTGTCAGTTAAGAATTAACGGAAAATGCCAAGGAATGATAAAGAGTCAGCAAAAACCAGGGAATGTAAAGGAAAATGACGAAAATGTCAAGGAAAAAGTATTAAATTCCCTATTTATTTGCTTCTTAGGGTACGTTTGATGTTTCATTTAACAAATTTTGCGTGCTCGGGTTTCGTAGGAACAATTTTCAACCAGGAAAAAACAATTGCAGCTGATTTTTTTTTTGCAATAAAATGTTTGCATGTTCGGGTTTCGAAGGGGCGATTTTTAACTGTCAATCATACCGTCAAACATCAGGGAATTTTACCAAAATTTATCGAGCACTTGGCAGGGAATTCCATCAATTTTCGTGGCTACAGAGGAAGAAAAATTGCAGCTGATTTTAGTTATATCGCAATGAATTTTAATAGGTGTTCCTTTAATTAGTAAATTGGCACAATACACAATACTCCGATGCAGTAGGAATAATTCCAACTTGCAATCGCAATTTCCCGTATTCGGGGAGCAATCTATGACGGTCGAATAAATTTTGTGCCGGGCGAAGCATCGATCGCTAATCCTTTTGACGCGGGAAGCGACAGCGCACGTGAAAACGTTTTCGCCCTAGTTCTGTTTGTTGGACGGACATTCTACTTTGCCAAGAAAAAACGCCGTATGAACCTTCGGCCGTTGCCAAATTCCCTTTGACTAAACACAAATTTTCGGGAAAATTTGCAAGTATTTTTTCCTTTGATTTTACAGAGAATCGGTCACAGAATCGTATTTTGATGATGTATTTTTAATAAGATCCACCCTAACAGCAACATTCTACGTTCACTACTAACCGAGATATCACCCTTTGAAAAATTCGTTTTATGACGTCATTCACCACGGTAGTGACACCCTTGGTTTCTTCACCTTGCTTTCATCAGTCGGTTTGACGCACATTTGCACTGATTGTTCAACGTAAAACTCGGATGAAAGCAAGGTGGAAGAAACCAAGGGTGTCACTACCGCGGATAACGTCAAAAACCTGGCTTGTCAAACAGGGATATCTCGGTTCATATTGAACATAGAAAGTTGCTGTTCGGATAAGGCTTACCATTTTCAGCTGATCTGCAAGAATCAAGTATCAAAACACGATTCTACGACTAGTGCAACTGACCCGTTTTGTTCGCATTTTAATACCTAAAACATCTGAAAATTTCAAGGGAAAACATTCATAACTTTCTTAAAAAATAGATATTAACCGGGAGGAAACTTGGCAACATTCTAATGCTCATACGGCGTTTTTCCTTAGAACGGCAGTTTTCCCCGCGCGGTTTCAGGGACCTCATTAGTTAATTACTCACCTTTATTTTCGCCACGGGCCCATCGCCGCACAGTGGATCGAGTCAATAGGAGAGGTCGGACAAAATTTGGAAACTTTAAACGCTTATAACTGCGTTTATGCAAAATGTTGAAGTTCTAAAAGTGATTCCTTTGGTTTCCTCGTAAAATCGTCTTCCTTAAGCACCCCTTGAAATTTAAAATGTGATGAAATTAACACACAAATTTGCAGTTTCAGTCAAAATTTTCATGTCCGACCCCTCTAATTGACTCGATCCACCGAGCGCCGCCGCCGCGTCTGTGATACTTCAACGAACGCATCGTAGCACTTTCATTGCGCCTTGACGCGCGTTGGCCGTGGAGTAAGTCCCAGCAATCCGCGGAGTACGTTGTCAAGTCTGCCGAGATAGCGAAGAGAGCAGTAAGTAAGTGCCGAAATAAAGTTTTGAGAAAACGGGCTCAGGAGCGTCTGACCGGAACATTTTATTGAAAGAAGCCCCCGCGTTCTTTGTCAAATGGCCGCCGATCATCCGAAAAATTCTTAGAAATCGTTTGTATGATTGAAAATCAACAGATTTTATTCCAAGTACGTAAAAAGGGTATCTTTAATTTTAGCGTTAAGTTAGTGTTAGGCAAGATAGCCGTTAGTGCCATCTTCTGCATGATTTTGTGGTTGTGTTTTGGACACACATTAAACTCATTTTCAAGTTAGAAATCGGCAGAAGAGGGCGGCACTTTACTGAAAAGCACTGTTTTCATACCACCTATCTGATCTATGCTTCAGATCTTTTGTTTTGGACACAGAACACACACAGTTTTAGGTTGGAGATCAGCAGAGGAGGGTGGCTTTTTACTCGTGAGCACTGTTCTCATTTACTCTCTGGGGGAATAATGTCACTTACTGCTGGTCTTGCCTGAAACTACGTCATTGTTTGCGCACTTACGGCTTTCTCATATGTCTCGTTTTTATACAATTGAGATGAATTTTGCTATTTTAGCTATTTCAACGATTTCCTATCAAAGAGATTAGACGAATTTTAAAGGAAAGACGATTTCGAAAATTTGACACTTACTGCTCTCTTCACTATCACGGCAGAAGTGGGTAATATTGCATGTTGCAAACGGTAATTGTATTAAGAAAAATAGTTTTGTTTTTTTAAGTGATTCTAAGTGATATAGGGTCAAGATCCACCACTACGCAGCGCTGATGCACGGTTTGCGTCTTCGAGAAGCAATAGTTGTAGTAATGTACGAGTTACGGCCAGAAACATAACGTGTGGCAACATTAATTCCCATGGGGAGTCATTGAAATCCATGAGTCCTTATGGGTTGAAGACGGAGACCAAAGACAAGTTGATCGAGAGCGCGCACCCTGTGTTACAAAAGATATGACAATTTTTACCAATTCGCAAGGCGCACCGACTGATGAGTGTACAGCACCGACCTTGCATGGGTGAGCTAGTGTGTCCCCTGTTCATGCGCAATAAGTGTGCAAATAGTGATTTTTCGTCGGATTGTAGGCGCTAACATGCTTTTCGTGCTGACCAGGGACCGCAATGTGTTAGGCGCAATGCGTGAAGTATTCCTGCTGTCTTGTAGGCGCTAATATGCGTTTCAAGCCGACCGGCGGCGGCCACAGTATGTTTGGCGGGATTAGAAACGATGATACTCCATTAGATTTCTGCATGTTGATGAAAGCAATTTAAATTCGACTTTCCCAGCTGTTTGAGCAGACCTTTTTAACTTTAAGTGATCTACAAGAGTCAAGCATCAGAACACGATTCTTTGACCGGCATAACTGACCCATTCTCAATGGTATGCCACAGTTACTTTTGAATTAAGAAGGAATACATTGGTTCCTTGATAGTGAAATGTTTTGTCAGTGGTCGGCTGGAAAAATCTAGAATGGAGTTTCGGCGTTTTTACTGAAGGCCTAATTACACACGGCGATTAAAAGACGAAGTCCAATTGTGAGCCTTGATTTCGATCCATTGACGTCGATACATCGAAATCAAGGTTCTCCGTTGGGGTTTCGTCTTTCAATCGCGGCGATTAATCGCCGTGTGTACTCAGGCCTTGAGGATGGCAGAGTATTTGAGGAGAGAGTGTGGTTCCTCGATCAAATTTCATGGTAGTACGGAGGTACTCGTCTGGAAGAAAGGAGAATCAAGGTTCTCGCGCACGGTTAAATGAGCAAATATTTAGCAGAGTCGATCAAAACCCCAGGACGGAAAAAAAGGAGGGCGCCCTTCGTGAGGTTCCCCGCTGCAGGAATAATCGTTTAGCCGGCGGCAATTGGTATTGATGCCATTAATCACCGTGTCTCGAAAGCTTCGCTTAATTGACCCGCTCACCTCTTAATCCTTTTTTCCATGACGGCTCCTTGCGCACAACAACGGACGACCCTCAAATCAGAAACATCGATTATTCTTCCGGTTAGGTGTCGGAAGTAATCGAATGTTTCACCCTCGTTCCACAAAAGGATGAACTTCGAACAAAACTAATTTTTAATGACGGTATTCGTCAGATTTGTTTTTTTAAATTTACAACGTCATTGTGAAGAGTATCGTAACGTACGGGAGTGAGGTCTGGCAACTCAAGAAAAGAATTGAAGACATGCTTAGGGCAACTGAGATGGACTTTTGGCGGAGGTCTGCTGGGATATCGAGAAGAGAGCGTATCCGCAATGAAAAGGTGCGCGAGATAATGGGTGTGGAGAAGGACATCGTGCACGGTATGAGGTCCAAGCAGTTGGTTTGGTATGGACATGTGCGAAGGATGGCAGACGATCGGTTGCCCAAGCAGGTTTTCGGCGACAAGTAGTGGAGGAGATCAGAAGGTGCCAATTGCCTGATGATCTCTGGGAGGATAGAGGGCAAAGGCGATTGGACGTCGCAGAGCGCGAGGCGGCGCGCGGCGCTGTGAAAACGACTTAATATGTGCGTATCGTGAGATCATGGGAGTCAAAAATGACATCATATTCGACGTCATAACTAGATAGCTTGTCTGGTATAGTCATGTCAATAGAATGACGGACGAAAGGCTGCCGAAGAAGAGCAAGCAGGAACAGATCAAAAGACAGACACGCGCTACGTTTTTCCTCATTTACATCAGGCCTGTTCTCGAATGCCATGTTCTTTTGGACTCTTTATCGCCGAATTATTGAAAGTTTGTGCTAAAACGGTGCATTGTAGAAAGTTGGCGCAATGATGGCTTTTGATCAGCATCTTGAGGTGAACTGAATGCAATAAAAAATTATAAATCGATCGTGGTGCTTTCATCATAAGGAGTGTGCGGGGTCCTTTGAAAAAGTATTTGTGGAAGAGAAGAATATGAGAGAGACGGCTTACTTAAAGTAGAGGAAGATCCAGATGGCGAGGCACAAAGCGATGAGAGAGATGGAGTAGCCGGCAAAGTAGATGGCCGTCGTGACGACGATCCCAGCATCGTCGGCCTGCTGGTTCAAGTCGTGGCAGTCCGCGTAGTTCGTGTGGTTCACCCACTCCCCGCCGACCCCGCACAACCGTGACGCGTTCTCTGCAACAAAGAACAAACCAACAATTTCACTACATGTCCCGATAAGGAATTACCATGTGGATATCGACGGTGAAACTACCAAACCACGTATCTCGTTTGCGGTGTTTAAAAATCTACGCTCACATTTTATTTTTTGGAAGTAGACCAAATCAATATCATTCCTTGAAATTTTCACAGAATTTTCTCTGCGCGAAGAGGAAAAATCACAGAAATTTTCAAGACTGGACGTTAAATAGTTTTTCATTTAAAAAATAAAGTATGACAGGAAGTCTGCGACGTCGCAAACCGAGATACGTGGTTTGGTAGTTTCAACGTCGATATGTCACAAGCAAATACTACCGTACCAAGGAAAAACGCTGTATGAAAATTTAGGCGTCGCCGAAGTTCCTCTGAGGAATCACGCACTTTTGGACAAATTCGTAAATATCTGTCTTCCGATTTTTCCGAGAAGTTTGTTCGTAATCTGGACGTATTTCTATCAAATGGAAGTACGTGTATTAAGACATGAGCCCTGAGACCCATAAGAATACATACCTACGCATAACAGGGCTCACGTCATAATTCACATAGTTCCGTTTGATAGAGATACGTCCATCTCATCTAAATAGTCTAAAAATTTCAAGGAAAATTTTTCTTAACCTTTCTCAAAAATGAACATTTTATCGGAGGAAATTCGGCAACTTTCGAATGTTCATACGGCATTTTTCTTAAACCCAGCAGAATAGTCAAATTAGATATTTTGTCCAATACCTAAGCGGATACTCAAGTGACAATTTACGGAAACACCTAAATTTATGCCCAAAAATTGCCAACTGTCAGTATTCTGAGAAAAATGACTCATAAAATCTACGAACCCGTTTTTTATACGGTTTTTAACCGGATTTTATACGAGGATTAAAAATAAACAAGTAGTAAAGAATATAACAAAATAATATGAACTATGCAAAACGATAATCCGGGTATCGGAACTTGGCTGTTTTGAAAACGCCTTCAAATGCGGCGTGATACCCCACGCATTCCGGAGAGTTCAAATAGTTGTATCATTGCGCCGTAAGAATGTGACGGAAGATTACAATTGAAATAGCCTTCATGCACGCTGGCCTTTTCCATTTCCTTTGACATTTTTGCAGTGGTGAATGCATAGCTGAATTGCGCTCCAGCTAGAATTGTATTCAGGAAATGGGTGGTTTTTATACGAGGATTAAAAATTAACAAGTAGTAAGGAATATGACAAAATAATATGAACTATGTAAAGCGATAATCCGGGTATCGGAACTTGGCTGTTTTGAAAACGCCTTCAAATGCGGCGTGATACCTCACGCATTCCGGGGAGTTCAAATAGTTGTATCATTGCGCCGTAAGAATGTGACGGAAGATTACAATGGAAATAGCACGCTGGGCTTGTCGATTTCCTTTGAGATTTTTGCCAGAAGTGCCTGAAACAACGATTTTTTTTAGAAAAACGTACCTGCGCAATTTTCGTTCAATTTTTTTTTTATTATTGCTTGAGATCCATCGACAAATGTGTAATATTCCCACTTAAATTGTCCAAGAATCTCCTGTTGAAAGTGCAATTTTTAAGGGGAAATTTGGCAAAATAGGAATATAGTCACGTCCTCCCGTGAGGAGAGCAACGGTAGCAGTGGCGTGGCGTGCTTTGCGATCTATCGATATTTCCCCATTTGAAGCTGTGGTAAATAATCGATTATTAAGGTGTTCGCTGCGAACACCCTGATTATCGATACTTTTGCATAGGTTTAAATGACCGATCAATCGATTTATCGCAAAACTCGCCACGCCACTGAGGGCAGGTGCCAATAGTTTCCTAAAGAGAATGTGCTTTTATGAATAAGTTAGGAACATCCGTCCTTTGATGCAAAATGAAGTCCATTCGCCAACTTGGGTCATTTTCCCAAATCTGAATAGAGCGAGCTCATATTTAATAGTTTTCGTTAAATTAGAATTTCGTATCATCGAATTTAAAGAAATGTCAATGCAGACTCTCATAATATGAACACGGGGAAAAAAACACATCGGATCTAGAGTCCAGACTTTTGAAAACATTGACAAGATACAATACTCTTGATTCAATCGGATTTTTGCTTGAATCAAAACGAAATCCGCCTAAATTAAGAGGCTTGGTTCTTGATTTAAGCTAGATTCTGATTGAATCAAGATTACTTTTTCTTGTGGATGCTTTTAAGATTCTGGACTCTAGATCCAACGTGTTTTTTTCCAGTGAAGGTTAATTCAGAGGGAGGGTTAAAAGTGAGTGTTACGTCGTTTGATTTTTCTTCAATTATGTTTAAAATCACTACGTCAACCAACCCTTCACCATCACGTAAGCACCACCCCCTCAAACCTAACCTATAAATACGAGATGAAGGGGGAAAATCGACGCGCTCGGCCAGGCGTCAATTTGTCTTAACAGGGCAGCAGACGGTGCATTAATTTTGATTAAAAGTTGGAGCAGCAGACGCCGGACGTGGAGAAGCGCCGTCGCTGCAGTATTAATCTAAGTTCAAAAGAAATAATTAACGCGTCCTCACTTGCCCGGTTATTTGGAGTGTGTGAGGCTCGGAATGAGTGGTTCTAGAAATTGGAACGCCATGAAGCACCAAGACGCTGTGCAGGGTGTTTCAGGGTTGGACCGCTAGACCAGAAGAGTGCCCGTTTAACCACGTTAAGCAGAAAAGAACCAGAAAGGTCAAACCCTCTAAAAAATCATTAGAGAAATGATACGTTTTATCAGCGCTAACTACGTTATCCCGTGCCTTCCGAGAGAAGTGCGATATAGTCTACGGGAATAACCGGTCGAGGAAGTGGGGTGAGATCAGTTGAGATGAGATGAAAGTTTTACTCAGTTTTCCCTTTTGGGTCAATATTAAGCAGGAATAATTAATGCCGGCCTTGTGTGTAGAATCGAAAAACATTTGGACATATTTCTGCCAAACGGAACTACAAGCATTAACACATGAGCCCCGAGACCCACAAGATAGGTGAATAACAGGGCTCACGTCATAATGCACATAGTTCTGTTTGATAGAAATACGTCCATTTGCCTAGGATTGTCCTGCGCTTCTACCCTCAGTAATTGGGAGATTAATTGAATCTCTTAAACGAGCTCATTCCCAGCGAGAAAAATGTCTGACAATAAAAATTGATCCTTTGGTCACATAACGGAACAGAACTTTTCAATCGAAGAACTTAAGCTCCACCTCTCCTATACGGAAATGTTTCTCGAACTTAATCGCTGCATTAAATAATTCGATTTTGTTGATGATAGTTTAGTGTTAAACAATTGAGTGTATCATACTGCTGTGCTAAGGAAGAACGCCGTATAAACATTCGAGAATTGCCAAATTTTCTTCGATAAAACCTCTATGAGGCAAGTTATGAATATTTTTCCTTGAACTTTTCATGAACTTCAGGTGAAATTTCGATCAAAATTATCTGAAAAATTAGAAGGAAAATGTTCATTAGTTTACTGGGAAATTCGTGTTTTATCAAAGGAAATTTGGCAACGCCTGAAGGTTCATGCGGCGTTTTCCCTCAGCACGACAGCATAGGTAGACCGTATGTATGGTTAGTAGTTTTCATGATTCAAATATACACTTTAGGAAAAAGAATGAAAGCCTCAACATCCTAAACAGAGCCGGATTTACTTGCTTGTCGCCCGTTGGCCGCCTGTATTTTTCCGCCCCCTTCTCATTCGTTAAGTGAACTTGCCGGTGGGGGAGGGGTGTATGAGACGCGTTGACGTGTTGGGCACATTTTTTGTGAAAGCCCTATGAAAGCCCCCTCAACACTACCATAAGTTCACGGAACTTTACGGGAAATTTAAGTTCCGTAAACCCATCCCTATTCAGACAAGGCCTTCTATTTATAACAAGCGAACGAACAAATTATGAAAGAACAAACATAAATGTGCGTGGTTTTATAATTTTAACTTCCGCCGCTGCGCCGACCGCACTGTGTTGGGCGTAATGCGTGCAGTATTCATGCAGTCTTGAGCGTTTCACGCCGCGCCGACTGCTGCTGACCGCAGTGTGTTTGACGCAATGCGTGAAGTATTTCTGCAGTCTTGTAGGCGATATGCGTTTCATGCCAACCGCCGCGCCGCGCCGAGGGCTTCTCCTTTTCATCTCAGTCCTCGTCATCATTGCACTGCGCCTTTCCGCTCAAGGTCAAATTGCGTGTTGGTTTCTCTCTTAACTCGACTAATTAAAGGTGTTTTCTCTTATATTGACGACAATATTAGAAATTAGTATACTTTTACTTTCAGGAAATGACAGATTTTGTCACCTTTTCTCGTTTGTAAATTATTTTTTGAATCCTATATTTCTTCTTCTTTTTTTATACCTACATTCAAAAAGATTGCAAAATTTTCCGCCACGGGCCACGGCCCATGTGGCCACCCCCTTAGTCCGGCCTTGCCTAAACTCAGTTTCAGTAAATAAATGTTCCAGCGTCGTAAAAATATGTGCAGTTTTTAAATTACGGTGCTGGCATAGAACGCTCAGAAATACTTTTCCGAGGTCTTTCTGTTCCTTGCCATGCAAGTTTAGAATTCAACAGAATAGAAAACCAACGCGGGCGTTTGGCATGGAAAAAATACCTGAAACTTTCGAATTTTACAGTGAACTTAAGATCAGTTAAGTTTGGAGTCTTCACTCTTCAAGTACCTATTCAAAAAAATTGGTTCATAGATTGGTCACGGTTTATAACCCATTTATCGATTCGCTTAACTTAAGTTTACCTATTTGAAAGCAGTTTGGTCCACTCCTATCATGCACAATTAATTTATCCCACCAACATAGATTTTTCTAACCGCAAACGTACAAAACTGTCCGTTTGGTGGCTCACTGATAGATTCTTTTGGAATTAAGTTAACGAAGTGATTATTAAGCGATAAGAAAGCGTACGGTCTTGGAGCGATCCCATTGGTGGAATTGGTTGGCTGCAGCTGACAAAAGAGGTAAATAATAGACGGCAATCCA